CTTCGCCAAATTATAATTCAAATTAATGTTAAACCTTAAGTTATGCAACTTCTAAAACTATTCAACGTGTTATAAAATGATAGCTCCTCTAAGCAAAAATTGCAAAAGCAGAAGAAAAATATTTTTTCTTTTTAATCCTAAGTTTTAACTATTATTCTTAAAGTGAAGATTGTCACATTTGCCTATAGTTAATACTAAAATAAATGCTTGTTAATAAAATCATAAAGCATATATATGAACTATAAACTTTCCAAAGAAGTTTGGCATGATATACTTACAGTTCCAAGTTCAAAAGTTAAGGACATGTAGTCCTGAAGTCCTGAAGTTAAATACAAAAGTTAAGGACATGAGCAGAAGGGTATTTTCGTCCGGACAGTTAAAGTTTATTAAAGCAGTAGCTAAAGACTAAAGACATTTTAAACGGTGGCTTAAAAGTAAATACATGTGTTATTAGTGGCCAGCCGTGAATTTGGCTGCCAACGGACGTTATAAAGTAGGGTAAGCTTCTTGATGCAAAAGGGAGTACAGGGGTAGTACTGATAAAAGTCATCGCTTGATACTAACTGGATTATTTAGTGTAAGCTTCTTGATGCAAAAGGGAATATAACAAATTAATTTTCGGACACAATTTCTTGTTCATGTTAAGAAAAAACATGTGACAAGTGAACGTATCAGCAGCATTGGTCATTTCAGTATATTCGCATCTCTAATGTTGGGGGTCATGTGTATTTATATTTATAACTTGTGACACCATAAGATAGATTCGTTGTTTTTTTTTTAAAGTAATATGTATCCGTTATTATTTTTATCTAAGAGGGGTCCTTTGAGTTGATGTTTTCTCTAACTGTTACCAATTCAAAGTGTAGTTTCTATTGATTTTCTCTTTCAATGACGCTTTTACGATATTCTTTTGAATTAGCTGACCATATGAACTTTATTGAGCCTGACACGACTGGCTGAAAGGTTGAGCTCCTAAATAAACATCTATTCTCTTTTTTAAGGGAAAAAAAGATACAGATTCAGAAAAAATTATTCACCATTTTACAAGGATATTAATATTTTATTATTCAACATTTTAAAAGGATATTAATATATTCTTGTTGTGTTCTGATTAGAAATATAATAAATAATAATTACAATCTTAAACAATTGAGCTCGGGCCCGAGCTCAGCACGGGCCTACCCGTTACTAGTGTAAGTAGAAAAACTTAATTTGGTAGTTAGAAAGATCGAATGAATTTTTTTATTTTATTTTGTTATGAAACAATAAAAGAAGAAAAATAGTATTGCAGAGAAAAGTAGGGAGAGAGAACTCTTATTGATTTGGGATGAATTACAATGGAATAGAACCCTCTATTTATAGGGAGAAGGTGGCTTAGCCACCAAGCAATGAACCCTAGAATCTCTCTAAATATAGACATTCACCATAAATATAATTGTATTTATAACACTCCCCCTTGAATGTCTATTCAACAGATAATGTGCCTCGTTAAAACCTTAACTAAAATAAAACCCAATGGGAAAAAAATTCTAGAGAAGGAAAAAGAGTACACATATCTAACAATACGCCTTTTGGTTGCCTCGTTAAAAACCTTGCAAGGAAAACCCAGTGGGACAAAACCTTGTAAGGGAAAAAGAGTACAATGCGTATTAACTCCCCCTGATGAGAGCATCAATTCACATCCTTGGGCATTTGCATTCCAATCTTGTGCACCATCTTCAAAAGATCTTTGGTAGAGATTTGATGAACAAATCGGCCATATTAACTTGAATGAATATATTGCACCTTGAAATCATCATTCTTGATAGAGATATAATGTCTTCATAAATATCGTAGAATGGCTCTTCAATATCTCTATGGAGGTATTCTCGCTATCACATTATCATGCTTATAGTTATAGCAAGATACATATATGCACAAATTGCAATGAGGATGTGGTACTTCAAGATCAAGAATTGTATATGTTTCAAGCAATTTAAATCTTTCAAGGGTCTCATAAGTTAAGCCATATAAGTCATATAATAGACTTTAATTAGATGCATATCAAGGTTTCATGTCATGCTAGACAAATAAGATATCGAAAACTGATTGCACATATCATTGGCTTTATACTTTCAAGTATTTGAACTACATGTTCAAAACTACATGTCTTTCATATGAATTCAAATTATACTTGAATTGTGGCTCTTCCATTTGGCCAATATTTTTGTGTCTATATTCGATAGACTTAAGATCCTCATCTATCTTAGCGCTATGATAGATGTCGTCGACAAATATTTTATATCGGTTCAAACCTCCTTATTTTTCATAAAGACATAACGTAGAGATCTCTTCATTCATATATTCAGGTACCTGAATCTCTCATGAGATTTTATGAAGTGTTATGTCATGTGATCTTTTAGATCACTTGCCTCCTTTATTATGATCATTTTGATCATTTGCTCATCTTCTTTATCAAGAAGTTTATTTGAAACCGATTGTCTATACGCTTTAAGCTTAACATAGACTTTGTCCTTCTAGGACTTATATTAATAGGAGCATTTGCAATGAGAATATAGTTACTTTCTTTGGGTCAGCAAATGCGTCTGGCATGCTTTGCAATAAATTGCACATGAATTATCCTTTTATGAACTTCAAGTTCATATTATTTTATTCGAGGATCTAGATGTACAAATGATAATTCATTCCACGTAACTTTTTCTCAACTTTTATCATGTCTCCCCCTCATGTTAGAAAATTGTTACCTCAACTTTGAGAATCCACCTTTGTGCGTTATGGTGTTAATCAAAATATACACCGCACATCAATAATAATAAGATGGAATTATTTGGTTCCTGATCATGAACCACTTGTGAGGGGAGAATGTAATATACTTTGGTATATAACGTATATCAAACTGATATATATATAACTTTGTTCTCATAAGCAATTGTTTAGCTATTAAGTAGAGGCACTCAATAAATCATTTTGCTAAACCAACTGTGATGTAAACCAACTTATCAAGATGAACTTCTTGAATAAAAAATCTGGAAATTATGCTCGAAATTAAATTATTGAGCAAGTTACCTCGCAAAATACCATGTTGCGGGTTATTAATAATTGCACATGTAACCATCTCATAGATGCATCTTATGTGGTATACATGGCAGGTGAATGTGCCCACATTCACCTTTGATATTTCCAGCATTCATGGGATTCAATCCCAATTTTAGTTGGTATATTAATTAATGAGAACAGGCAACATAAGAGAATTCGTAAAGAACTTTCTAGTTCTTTAATATTTACCCATGTGAATTCTCTTTTATTTTTGCACATTATACTTAAATTGATATGGGTAAACCAATTATGCCAACTGAATAAATTATCAATATTGATAAACTTCACGTTTACACCATGATGTGTGCAATTATGAATAAACTCCAAGTTTATTATGATATGGGTTTTTATATCAATAAATATCACTTCATTGTGGTATTCTTTTATTTATGTAGTACAAATTGGAGAATAAAGCGGGTAGCTTTTCACATACATATTACCCCGCTACAAGTTGTAGTAATAGAAGATATTAAATCTTTCCTTTATTTATAGTCTCAATATAATCAACTGCTTTCGCGTATACTTTGGAAACTGAATAAGTTTCTCTGAGACTTACTACAACACAATACCTTATTGGTAATTAATTGTGTTTCTCCAAAATAGTATAATTGGCTCTTGCAGAGTTCTCAATTAATTTTGTAGTACCACATATTCATCAACACCCATATGGTGAATATCTCTTTTAAAGAGAAAGTTATACCATTATGGTTATGGTCAAAATTATATGCAAGATCTGTTTCTTGCATTACCGTTGACTTTTAATAATCACAATGCCAAAATATTTTGGCGTACAATAGGTACGTGACCAATGACCATTCATGCCATAATAATGATATTATTTTCTTATATCATCTCAAACCTCCTTCTAGAGGTGAGTGTGGTATATACCACTAGCACGCTCATATTCTTCCAAAAATGAATATGTATTCTTAAATCAGATGTTGTCACATTCACATCATGAATAGACCATAATCATCTATATGTGCTTTATAAAATCTCATGTCAAATCAATGACAAATATTTTCACAAGTGGGGGATTATTTTGAGAATCCTTATTATTCTCATTATCACAATGATGACGATTATAATTTCGTCTATTGCCACGTCCACATCCATTGATACATTCATAGTGATAATTTTGTCTTCTTTCAAACTTATCACATACTGCTATCACATTCTCTTAAGGGAATGAGAATGGAGCAAATTCAATGGGGCGGATTTCCACTTTTTGTGCCCATAATCATATATGAATTTGATCATGGCAAGACATAGAAACTTTTACCATTTTAGGTGGTTATAATTTCTTACAAACTCCATTAGAGTTATAATCAAACTTTGTTGTCTTTGCTTGTATATAAAATCAAAGTATAGAATAAAAGAGAAAAATACGTTAAAATACTTACCTTAAATCCAGAATTTAATCATGAAGGAAGTTCATGGAATAATTGACAATCATTATGCTCAATCCCAAAGCTTCTACTCAATTGGTTAGAGTCTCGTGCTGATAACGTGTTATGAAACAATAAAAGAAGAAGAATAATATTGCAGAGAAAAGTAGGGAGAGAGAATTCTTATTGATTCGGGATGAATTACAATGGAATAGAACCCTCTATTTATAGGGAGAGGGACCTCTCTAAATATAGACATTCACCGTAAATATAATTGTATTTATAACATATTTAAAATTTTAAATTATGCATTGTATACTAGTTTATAATATATCAAACTAAATATTATGCAATTTGTAATACATCAAATTAAATATTATATACAATTTATAATATATCAAACTAAATATTAAATAATTCTTGCATACCAATTCATGCATTATTCATTATCATTAGTAATTGATTACTATTTCAGTCGGTTCATTTTACTTTTTCTCCTTTTGCTAGAAGATTACTGTTTTGTGGAATAAAATTGGAAAAATAGCTAAAAGAACAAGGGAAAAAAATTGTGGTCCAATTAGCAAGCAAATAACACCTAAATCATCAAGCGGGTCGGGTGCTGCTCAATAGAGAAGAGACCATCGAAGCAGAAAAGCTTCAGTTCCATACATTTTTCCTGGTAAAGTTTTAATTTTTCGTTTAATTTACTCTCCTAAAATTCTGGGTTTTGCTTTTTGTAACTTCACTAGGTTGTATTGACTCTTTGATTTGTCATTTGAATTCTTAGAGTTAAATGCAGAATAAAATAAAGGTTTTTAGGTTTTAATTCTGTAAAATTTTCAGTTTGATACTACATTAGCTTTTGAATATCCATGAGGTTCGAAATGAACAAATAATAATTTCTTCTTGTTTTAAGAGTAACTAAAATATATTTTGATGTTGTTGGAAGGTTCAGTATTTTGGGGAAATTTTAACCTTCCAGTAACTTTTGCGTAGATTGTATTTGTGTTAGGAAATCCATTAAATAGAATATGTAATTGAGTACTCATAGTAGTCTTTGACCTGTGAAAGTTATCTTTCATGTAATGACATGCGGACTCTCCAAAATGCCGCCGCACCTGTGTCGGTCCTGTCGGATCCTTCAAAAATGCACTACTTTTGGAGGATCCAACACGCACTCACCAATATTTTTGGGGAGTCCAAGCAACATAGCTTTCAGGATATTGTCTCTACATCATGATCAAGCCAAACGAGTAATCTACTCCCCTTTTTGATCAGCAATTCGAAATTAAATTTTAAGTTTCATAGTCCCTGCCCACAAACTTGTACTGTATGCTGAAGATATTTCTTTTGTTAACCAACCAACTTTATGCTGCTGTATTTTGTAGAATGAAGGAGACTAGAAAAAAGGTATTCTCAAATGTGCAAATCTGATAAAATTGAGCGATGCAACCCATAAAATCCTTTTTCTTTTACTTCCCAACAGCTATAAAAGAAAGGCCATTCGGTCAAGGGGTGTTATCTCCAGAACAATTCTTTATTGTGTTCTCCACCTCTTTCTCATCAAAAGGCCTTTTCATTATTGCATTCCTTCTCTGAGCATAATTATCATTTGAGGTCTATTATCAACAACAACATACCCAGTATATTCCCACATGTAGGGTTTGGGGAGGTTAGTGTGTACCTTGTGCAAGTAGAAAGGCTGTTTCCAAAAGACCTTTAGCTCAGGCAAGCACAGTCACAACAGTAAGGCAAATCAAACATATAAAAATAGTAGAGAGTCATAGGAAAAGAAATAGTAGCAACAGCGAGATAGTAACTAACCGAAGCATAAGCAATACCAGATAATACTAGAAATCCAAGAAAAAGACAAAACAAGAGTAATACTACAGCTACCGTAATGGAAGGAAAGTACGCTCTACTACTACTAATCTTTTACTCTAATCCTCGACCTCTACAACCTCCTATCAAGGGTCATCTTCTCAGTCAGCTCAAAATGCGCCATGTCCTGCCTAATCACCTCTCGCCTCTTCTTCTCTGGCCTTCCTCTACCTCTCCCCAGACCACAATGTCCAACCTCTCACACCTATTCGAGGTCTATTATTTGTAAATGAAACGATTGCGATGCCATTCTCAACCAATAGCAAGGTCAATTGCACTTCGTTCATGTGCCGGTTCTTTCGGAAAATATGCTGATTCATGAGAATTGCTTCACTTTCTTAATTGGATACAGGATTTTTTGAGCTCTTCTTCTCTGCTCTGTTTTCTTTGTATTATCTTTTAAGCTACTAAACTCATGAATGAACGCATTTCCAGAGGTCTTTCTGTTGACTTCAACCAGTAGTCAGGTGAAGTTTTGTCAATATCGTGAAAGTTAGTTTTCATGTCACCCACCAATTTGGAGATCCGCAGGTCCTCTCTAGATCTTGCCCGCATTTTGTTCCAGTACTATTACAGATCTGCAGCAGTGGAATTTCCCTTGGATGAAAAACGCTTCCATAGTATAAATTTGCTTGTTGAATACATCAGTAGTAAGCACATTGTATAAGATGTATGAAGCAACTAAAATTTATTAATCAGGCGTCGTAATGAATAGTTCAAGCTTTTTCTTGTACTATTTAAAATTTAGCTTAAAGGCTAATGGAATTTCGGGAGTGTTATGGTATTCGCTCTGTATTAATTGTCTGTACTTCTGTGAAAATAGATGGGAGTATTCAATATGGCTATAAAACCTGTAATTGTCTCAGTTTAAGGTAGTGAGTTCTCAAAGCATAGTATAAGAGATGTAAAGAAACAAAATTTCTGGTGAGTCATTGAAAAACTCTTGCCACAGTTCTTCCTCGATACCAAATATCCCATGGGAATATATTCTGAAGCAGCCCATTCTCTGTGACCATTCATGCCATTCAGCCCAAGGTCTCCCAGACCACCAATGATGTCCTGTCAAATGAGTAGCATCCCATCAAATTATCATGAACTTGGCATAACTTGACCTTTCAGTGAGGACAATATAGAGAATAGCTGATAGTCACCTTTGCTTGAGGGGTGATATTAGGTAACTCAAGTTATTAGTGAATTGTTATCCAGCTGATTGTCTGAATTGTCTGATCTGTAACATGTTTTCATCGCAATCAGTCACCATAAATCTTATCGTAAACACTTTGATTTAAAATCTATTTATAGTATGCAGTACTAGATTAAGGTTCAATGCATGAATATTGATGTGAAACTGATGAAAGAATTGTAATCAGCACTCTTAAGGCAGTGTTCTGATTTTGTACGATAAATCACAAAATATAACATAGAGAAAATTATGTAGACGTTATCTACTAATCGTTTCTTTGTCAAAGCATTATTTCTTTTACTGTGTGTACCCATAATTGTAGGTGAAAAAGAGTACAACCCAAGGATTTTTCTGTCTTATCTTCTGATATCAGCGGTAGATATGGCATTTGGAATCGTCCTTCCGAGCTGTAAAACTTGAATTCGATAAATTGATTAGGATTTTGAATATCATAGTCAATTAATTACAATCCAACGGTTTATGGAATAAAATCATTATTGCCATTAATAGTACAATCCCTTGCATCACTTAGCAGCATGAGATGCTGCAGGTGTTGCTGAACATAATCTTATCATTCATGCCACCTTGAGTGTTGTCACAGGGGCATTTTCTGTCTGCCGAAAACCTGCCCGTTGTGCGGTAGTCAAGTCCCAACTTGACTCAGCCTTCACCCTATTTCTTTCGTTTTCGGGGTTCAGCACTTAGAATAATTTCAAGGCAACATAAAATAAGTAAAGGCACAAGCAGAATTACGGAACCCTTTCCCAACCTTTTATAATAAATGAATTACAAAGGAAAATCTCGAGTTTGGCAAGGTGCTGCCACCCTTGGCAGACACCAACTCACAAAATTGCCGACTCTTGCACAATCTGCCTTATAAAAGCCCCTGCCTAAGACATTTCGTGCTGCTCACTGATTTTGGCAAGGCAATGGCACATAATTTGCCATGCTCAAGCCTTGATATAGACAACCCTATCCCTACATCTTGCCTATTTTCCCTCCCTGGGTACTTCGACGTTTTTGGGGCTGTTAAGACACATATTTATAGTGTAGTCAGCCCATTTCAGTTTTTCCTATTTAAGTTGACACCCCCAACTGATAGGCCATGATCACCCATGATAAAAAACGTGCATGTTATGATCTAACATGCCTAAAAACGTGCATACACTTAGCCCTATTATCAACCACTCTTTGGACAAGGCAGTTGTAACCGACCAACTGCACAACATGTGCACAACACACTTGATAACCGCTCCATGTGCGTGTTTCTGGCCAGCTGCTGTACGCCTAAGGCTGGCATTGCGCCCAGCCTTGCCCTTTGACACTGCTCCGCCCCAATGCCATAGCCACAGCTTGTCGCCCATGACTTAGCCGCATGCACGCCCGCTGCCACAGCCGCTTGTTCATGTCAAGTCGCCCCTACTTGATCAAGTCTGCCCTTTGCCAATGCCAAGCTGATAGTAGCATAAAGTCACCAAGCCATGATGCCATTTCACTTGCTAAGTCGTTTGCCCACAAATTCCTTAGGTGCCAGCCCGCTCACCTAAGCCAAGGCAACACCGTGTTGCCAATGCCACTGCCTTGACACTAAGCCGCTTTGTCTTAGCGCCTAGGTCTTTCCCGCTTTGCCTTGTCAAGTTTTCGTCCAGCCCGCCTTGTTCCTTCAAGACCTTGGCCTTTTCTTGCACACAGCCCACTCGTGCTTTAGTGTAGTCCGTCACACCTTAGCCTTCCAATAGTGGTGTAGTCCGTCACACTTAGCCTTGCAACAGTTTGTTGCCATTGACAACGCCCGCATTGTCTTGCATGTTGATTTCCCCCGCACATAAGCCAATGGTAAGGCCATCATGCCAAATCCTCGCCACTGCCGCGCCATTTGCCGATCAACTTTGTGAAGGGTCTAACAAGTATCTCTTACCTGTGTGAATATTGTTTGAGTGACCTTTGAACTATTATGTATAGAAGCATGATATGTTGCAGGTGTGTCTGGACGTAATCCTATTATTCATGCCATCTATATTCTCTTAATCTGTGTGCATATTGGTCGAGCGACCTTTGAACTGTTTCGTATAGACATGAATTCTTTTAATTCTATGGAAAATAGTCTTTTGCCTCAAAGTTATGTACTTGCTTTGAGGAAGAATCTAATAAGATGCTGCATTGTGATTTTTTTATAGGAGTTGTAACTTGTAACTGAACTTTAATGGTTTTTATTTCCTGGAAGATTATTTTGGCTCTCGCTTATTCCTCATCTTTTTTATCTCGCAGTTATTCAGATCCTTAAACATCCCGCTTTATCTCACTTGATGTCTCGCAAGCGCAATGTCATTGTTGCAACAGGCTTGGTAGCTTTTGCAGCTGCTGGCTTGTCCTTTCCATTTTACATGGCGTAAGTAAAACTTTGTTGCTAGTTACAAATAAAGAGGCAATCTCTCAAAGTATTGCTTGATTGAAAGTTATCATGGTTTCAATTCAGGTCAAGATCATCAAGGGCAACTCCAGTTATTGATTCATCAAAGCCATTACCACCCCAGGCGACTTTTCGTGGGCCTTACATCAACACTGGATCGCGTGATATTGGACCTGATCATCAAACTTACTCTAAGAAATAACATCTTGCTTAATTAGAATTTAGTATGCTAGCAATTGAAGTTGATAAGATTTTTTCTCTCTGTTTCCATGTTCTGTATTTAGTGAAAGGAGATAAATAATGACCGTCTGTTGAATCTGCGTTACTCTCATTATGTTCTGGTCTTCTGGAGAGAACCTACTGCAATGTCGATATTACCTCTTAATCAGCCTGGATTGATGAAGGACATTAGCATGTTGAGAATGAATCTTTTTGGGATAGTCGAGGAGCGCCCTAGCTGGCCTGGACACCACTATTATAAAAAGAATGATGTTCTTTTAGGGAAAGAGGGACTCGTTCATAATATCCTTTCACACATATAGTTGTGTCGTTGCCTGTTCAGTGAATATTTCGTTCAGAAACAGCTTTCTGTAAAATGCAGCTTGCGGGAACAACAGAAAAATGCCTTTGAACTGTCTAACCATATATAATGCATTTGTACTCTTCATTTCAAACATGCCTTAGAAATTATATATCAGCTCCAAAAAATTAACTTCTGATCCGGTATTATGAATAATTTTCTATTTTCATTTGGCCACTTGATGTTTGCAAAGGAGAATCGCCAATGATACTTATGTATCGGGAATTACAATCTTGGTTTAATTTGCCTCACACTTGTGAGTTTTCTTCTTTTCATTACTCCAAAACGTATTACTCCTACTAGTTTTTTGTTCACATTCTTTAACGATCTTGTTAAATAAGAAAATGTCTTACTGCGATTGCAAATCAAATATTTATGGTTACAACTTGCAAGATAACATGCCTTTGACAGCAGAGAATGCTCCAACACAACCGAAAAATGGAAACGGGTGAGAAGCGCATCAACAAGTGAAAGTTGAAAAGAAGAAAATTGATGTATCGTGACCATTAAAAACACCAATCGACGTGATCATGTACGTAGATCAGTCTTCAAACCTTGAGCGTTGAGTCGTTGACAGTTAACCATTCCATTCATCTCCTCTACACTTTCACCTTTCATTTTCTTTCTGTCCTCTTCTCACTAAGATACTTCCAGAAAACTCACCAAAAAACAACCAAACTCAATTCAACACTTTGTTCATATCTTGCACGCAAACCCTTCTTCTTTTTCTTCTTTATACCATTGAATATAATATTAGTACCCTCACATAAAAAAAAAAAAAACTCACTACTCAATTTCATCACATTAACCCAATGGCTTCTTCTCTATTATACTCCCCACCCCCAACTCCTCAAATTCTTTCAACTTTTTCTTCCTTTCATTCTTCTCTCCCTATTACAACCCAAACTTCTTATCAAAGTAAAAGAAGAAAAAGAAGGCCAATTTCATTTCCTCTTAGAGTAGCTGCACCCCCAACAACACCTTCAGCTAACGCCACTAGTGATATTGATGAAGTAAATACACAAGATGATGAACAAGATTCATCCTCAAAATTCTCTTGGAGAGATCATTGGTACCCAGTTTCTCTAGTTGAAGATCTTGACCCTAATTTACCTACCCCATTTCAGCTCCTCAACAGAGACATAGTTCTCTGGTTTGATAAATCTAACTCTCACTGGGTTGCTTTTGATGACAAATGCCCTCATCGCCTTGCTCCTTTATCTGTAAATCCAATTAACCCCACTTCTCAATTTTGCTTAAAAAATTGAATCTTTTTCAACATTTTGACATGTGGGTGTTTTATCCTATCGACCCACTTTCTCAATTTTGCTTCAAAAATTGTATCTTTTTGAACATTTTGACATGTGGGTGTTTTGTTTTGCTTAAAAAATGAAACTTTTTCAATATTTTGAAATATGGGTATTTTATCCTATTGACCCACTTCTCAATTTCTAGCAATTTTGCTTAAAAATTGAATCTTTTTCAAGATTTCGAAATATGGGTGTTTTATCCTATATTCCTATTGACCCAAAAATTGAATCTTTTTCAACATTTTGAAATATGGGTGTTTTGTTTTGCTTAAATAATGAAACTTTTTTCAAGATTTTGAAATATGGGTGTGTTTTTTGTTTGTTTGTAGGAAGGGAGAATAGATGAAAATGGGGATTTGCAGTGTTCATATCATGGATGGTCATTTAATGGATGTGGATCTTGTACAAGGATACCTCAGGCTGCATCTGAAGGACCTGAAGCTAAAGCTGTTCAATCTCCAAGGGCATGTGCTACTAGATTTCCTACTATGGTTTCTCAAGGACTACTCTTTGTTTGGCCTGATGAGAATGCTTGGGAGAGAGCTAAGGCGACTAAGCCCCCTATGTAAGTTTCTCACTCCCCATAAATTTGTTTATTAAACTATTGTTTAGTAATCATGTGGAGTTAGGTTATACTAATAGGTTATCTTTACTATAGTGACTTACTTAAAATATGCTCATTATTTTATTAAGTTATCATTCACTAACCATGCCGAGTTAATTTATGTTATAAGCAATAGGTAATCTTGACTATACTTAAGTGAATTGTTTAAAATATATTTGTTTTTTAATGGGATTCTTTAGGTTGCCTGAAGATTTTGATAAGCCTGAGTTTGCAACTGTGACAATTCAGCGCGATTTGTTTTATGGCTATGATACTCTAATGGAGAATGTCTCCGATCCTTCTCACATCGATTTTGCGCATCACAAGGTAAGCATGCAACATTTTGTTCCGGTTTGGCTTCTAAGTTAATTGATATTCCACTTTGGGACCTAAGGTTTTATTTGCTTATTTACTAATTCATATCAAGTTGACTAAGGCAAGTATTAGCTACTCAAGTTCAGCCTTTTCAAGCTTAGATCAAATTTTATTCTAGTACTTGCACAATAGTTCAGTGATCAGCTTGAGTATTAAACCAGCATGATACATTGTTTAAACTAGTAAGAAAGCTCAAGCTGAAGTGGGTTCAATGAATATGTGATAAGGAGCTGAGCGCAAACCTGTTAGTAACCTTGATTCAGGCCTTCAAAGAAAGACCAAAGACTAAGCTCAATCTGTGAACTCTTTTAACTTGTAACTCATTTTCTACTGGATAACCCAATATTTAATCTGAGTAATAAAATTCAGCTTCTAAAATTAGAACACTTATTCTTTAATACAGTATGTAAATATAAGGGTAAAACTATTGGAAAAAGTCATTACTTGACTCCGCCCGCCTATCAAAATTAGAAGAGCAACAGGATGTGATCCACGTCTACTCGGTAGAGAATAAAGGAAAAGGAGGAAGTATACTGCCACTGTCAAATTTAGAGACTCATTCCATATCGCCATAGTTGTCTGCTTCATTAAACATTGAAGAAAGAACATATCAATTAATTATCAATTGGAGTCTCTTAGAGATACATTTAAACTAATAGGTGAAATACACGGAAGTGGGGTAATCTTTTGATGAAGTGCTATGTGATCCTTGAGTTGATGCTTGTAGTAGATTGAACTTCTAGATGTGACATTTTACATTCAAATAAAGGAGCTTAAGTTGGTTCTAAAACAGAATGTGGTGTATTTAGTTGGGTCGAAACAACTATTATACTTGCAACAAAGAATAAGTAATTGTGATGTTCTGAAAACCTGGTTAGGATATTGATCATGCAAACTCAGGAGAGATGCTAAATGAAGAGATTGGTCTGTCTGGTGAAAAGTTTGTTAGTTACCATAGCCAATGAGGTATGAAAACAGATTGATCAGAGAAGAGTGGGTCAAGAAGAGCATGAATAAGATATACAGGAAAGAGACTTCTTAATCTTTTACTTCTCAAAAAGGACTCCTTTATCTTCTGCACCTCTGCATATCTTTAGGAATGCGCAGTCTTACTCCATCTTTTATCTATACTACTAATAAAGTTGTCAACTTTATTGACTATCTTGGTGTCTCTTAAAAAATGTGGTCGTTCTCTATTGCTTAAGACCAAAATTGCCCTCAAGTTCCTACATACAAGCTTGACTGGTAATAGCATTAAATTGATCTTTTTACTATGCTCTACTTCCTATTTTAAAGCCATTATCCTCTGTTTTTTAGCTCTTCAATGCTAGATATTTTTTTACTTCAATTATTAGAAATTTATATTAGATGAATAACAACTACATCTCAATCCCAAACTAGTTGTAGTCTGCTATAGGAATCCTCTATCCATTCTGTTATTCAATTCATTCCAATACTCAGTAATTTGTCTTTGAAAACAAGTCAGGAGTTATCCAGAAACTAAATTCTCTAAATCTTTCACTTCTCCTTACTCTCGTTTACTTATATGACCAATCAAAATAATTTTATACTAAGAATATGCACACAAGTCTACCGTAATTTCTAGTTTAAGATTTATCCTTTCACAGCAAAAAACGAAAATAGACTTTGGTGTTCTGGTGATGTGTGGTAAGCTCTCATAAGCTATGGGTTGTTTGGTATGTGGGCACCATATAAACTTCAGATCAACCTGTTTAACATGTGAAGAATGTGGATTTTTTGAGCTTCTAAGACAATAAGCTCGACTCTCAGCTTGGAGTCTTGGACAGATCATATACGACAGATTTAAGATTGCTCCTAGAAGGTTTTCTATTCCAGTTATCTGGCGTGGTATTAAGGTGTAATCATACCTTACTTTCTGTCCGAAGATAAGTAAATCCATACTTATGGAGCAATTGATGGAAGTTGTACCACTGGAAACTGGAGTGTTACGTATCATTTTATGACTTCCATGCTGCTTTTATCAGTTAATGCATACTATATGGTCCTCATTCCTCAAAACTACCAAAATAGCAGCTACTGTCTGTTCTGTAAATATAACTTTTTGTAGCTCTGAAGTAGAGCTTTCAACTCCGTGGCTAAATCACTTTAATAATTAACCAATTAATACTGCTGCAGCTTGCTTAGTTTCCAACAAGAAATCCTTTTAGCTTACTTATCAATATTTTACAGGTTACTGGAAGGCGAGATAGAGCCAAGCCCTTGCCATTCAAGATGGAGGCATCTGGACCATGGGGTTTTGCAGGTGCAAACAATGATAAACCAAAAATTACTGCAAAGTTTGTCGCACCTTGTTACTCCATGAATAAGTAAGTTCATCACCCCAAAAGTAGATCATCTTTCCTGACTATCAAGGCAAGAAAACATGTATTCTATCAACTGTGATTAATCATCTTTAGGTAGATAAGCTTGCATCAGTCTTTCCCTTTCTCGTGCTTTACAAAGTTTGTTATCTGCCAACAAATTGGGACGTTATTAATCAGTAGCATTATGTCCCGTTTAAGACATGGGTTCTGTAAGGTTATGTAACACTAGTAATCTTTTTGATCATTTAGTGTGAAGATTTTTTATATAGAAATCATGGTTTCATAGCTTTTCCAAACCTGGTGCATGATTGTGGTGTTTGGTGTGCATGTCTTTGTATGAATTACCTGCTCTAGGTAAATGTTGGCTGCTTTCGTTCTGCAACTATTTGCATGCCTGTATAACTAAGATTTCATTGGAATTTTTTCCAGAATAGAGATTGACACAAAGCTTCCAATCGTGGGTGATCAGAAGTGGGTGATATGGATTTGTTCCTTTAATGTACCAATGGCACCAGGAAAGACCCGATCAATTGTTTGCAGTGCTCGAAACTTCTTCCAGTTTACAGTGCCCGGGCCTGCTTGGTGGCAGGTAATAATGCTTCAATTTTACAATTATATCAGAAGATTCTACTCTTGTATATGCCCTTGGGAACAAATGAAAAGGTGTTCCTATATTTTCTGAAACAATTCACTCTTTGCGCATGGTTGAGGTGGTTAAATATTTACTTTAATAACAAACCCCAAAACCAAAACATATTGGTGATATACTAGCTCCATATTTTCTTAGAAAAAAATTCTGTATAGATCAAAATACTATCAATTGGTCCATGGATTTCTTATCTCACAATTTGGGAATTCAAGCTGCTGCGGAGACTAGTACAACTTGTGTCTCATTTTCCATGTGATTCGCAAAGTTTCTGTACTACCAACTCAGTGATAACCTCAAAAACCTATCAAAACAATAAGCTTTATGTCATTGGCTTTAAGGTGGGAACGTATGTTTTGGATCCACTATGCTAGCAAATGCACCATATGGAGAATAACTAGAATAAGACTGATCTAAAATTTGATTTTGAGTATTTAGATGGTTTTCTTGTAAAAAGAGTATGACCTACTAACTTAGTAAAGTAAATGAAACAATACCTTATCAAAAAGATTTTTAAAAAAAAAAAAAGAACAGATGGGAAAAGACGCAATTAGATCATGTCTTATCACTTCTTGTACCAGGGTACAAGTCCTGCTTTTATTTGTGAAGTTAGAAATAGTGGAAAGTGGATCATGTGTTTTTTCAAGTGACTAGTCGACATAAGCCTTCTAATGCTCGACTTGCTTGCTGATGCTTTCTCTAAGAGAAACAGCGAATGAATCACATAGAAGCTCATGTTCATGGTGGGAAAACTGCATGAGTTGGAACAGAATGATCTACACTTTCTTTGGGTATCTTGCAACTATAGTTGTGATGTTAAGGTCACATAAAAGCAGGGACTGTAAACTACTTAGTGCTTCGGCCCAAGTTGATGCTGTGGCTGTTTCTGAAGCCTTCCAAAAATATTGTGTAATAACGTGATATTCTTATCTTTTGGATTTCAATGTAGATTTATAGCTGTAGCATTGACGATTTTATTGTTCAGAGTTCAGTGGCAATATTTAATCATAATAACTGGGATTTTTCCATGATGTGCTGACAACAGGTTTTCCCGAGATGGCAAGAGCACTGGACTTCAAATAAGGTGTATGATGGGGATATGATTGTTCTTCAAGGTCAAGAAAAGATTTTTCTTGCAAAGTCAAAGGAGAATTCTACTGATGTCAACAAGGAGTACACGAAACTCACATTTACACCCACTCAAGCTGATCGTTTCGTTTTGGCATTTAGAAATTGGCTTAGACGGCATGGTAATAGTCAACCTGAATGGTTTGGTAATGTAGACCAACAACCATTGCCATCTACCATCTTATCCAAACGCCAGGTATGGATTCTTGAACTCCAAAACCAACTGAATTTTCGCTAGAAAGAATCAGTTTGCTCTTTGAATATTTTCTTGTCCATTTCCTTCTCGAGACCTCTCTTCATATCTTCGCCCTTGTAATATATGGGTTACTTTTTCAGTTCTTCATATCGTTATATTACAGATGATGGACAGATTCGAGCAACATACACTCAAGTGTTCATCTTGCAGAAACGCTTACTACACATTCGAGAGATTGCAAAAGATTCTGATTGGCGCAGTAGTGGTGTTCTGTGCAACTGCAGGCATTCCTGCTGATATCAAGCTACGTGTTATCTTGGCTTCATCTGCAGTTTTAAGTGCCGGATTGGCATACCTCCTCCATGAACTGCAGAAGAATTTTGTCTTTGTTGATTATGTACATGCAGAAATTGATTAAAAGTGATAAGAGGGTCTTGCCAACTCAACACCTCTAAGCTTGTTCTTTCTACTCTTAGCTGCAGATAAAAATTGTATACTGCAGAGTATATCATTCGTATACATGTATATATGACTGAGATTTGTAGAGATGTATAAAAGAAAGTTTTGCTCATTCTTCTTAATCACAAACCTGTATATGGTAGTCTCCCCTACTTTAATCAAAAACATATCTATTGTCTAGATCAAAGTCTAAGGGGTAGTTTTGGTTGAAGGAATAAGGGCTATCCTGGGATAAACACCAAGATGACAAAGATGTCAATCTCAACAACCCTTCTCCCAAAGTCTTTAAGAAAGTCAAAGTCAAAATTGAAAATAAAAGTTTGTGCAAATTTGTCTAGTGTAAACCAAACACGTGTTTTATATTTTAATATCATGTTAAATTATGCGATTGTTTAATTGTTTAATTTAAAACTTAAAATATAAGAAATGACGCTCGAAACATTTAGATTTTATTTAATTTAAATTCATAAAAGAATTCGGACTATAATTTAATACATATTAGTTCAGTTGAATATTGTGGGTTAAACAACTCAATTTGAATTTAAGTGATTTTGTAGGGATGTTTAACGTAATTTATCCTTTATCATTGATGCCCAAATTTGTGTCACGTGTCAAGTGACGTACTTGACGTGCCAAATCAATTAAAGGAGCCAATGAAACTATCTCATACTAAATGATGTGGTATGCTAAGTTTAATCAAAAGGTCAATAAGAATGTGTCAAATGTACAAATGACATATTCCAGTCAATCAAATATAATTTTATCAGTGGTTCAATCTGATAGGTCATGGATTCAAATAAACCAATCAAAACAAAGTAAATGAATTTGTTCTTATCACAACTTCTTTCTTCCATTACTGTAAAAGGGAAAGAATCACAAAAAGAAGTAGGTGAGTTCTCAAAATTAATACTTAGTATTCCTCCATTATAAGCTATAAGCATGGATGAATTATTTCTATACAAGTTTAAAGCATCTAAAATCAAGAAACAAGTTCAAGTTAAGTCAAAATTCAAGGCATGTGGGTTATTAAGCATCATTATCTTATCACTTATTCTTGTTACAGATTTTGATTAAATCTGCTAATGTTTAGGAGCATTTCTAGCAGTAGTTATTGTTTTGAAATAAGTCTTCCTCCTAATTGTTTGGGAGTATAGCTAGTAGTAGGGTTGTGCACGGATCAGATCGGATTGGATTTAGCATATTTCGGATCGAATTTCGGATTTCGGATTCTAGAAAATACAATCCGAATCTGATCCGAATTAATGTCGGATCGGATCGGATTTTAAACTTTGGATCGGATCAGATTTTCAGATTTCGGATCGGATTATTAAATTTCAAACTCATATGTATATTTTCTTTGTAAAAGAGGCAATACAATAAGAAAAATTCATGTTTCTGTAAATGAGAGTACTATGGTGCCAATATAGCTAAATCCATCAATTGTAAAGGTAATAACTTGGAGGAAAATGCAAAAGGAAGTACTAATTAATCGATATTAAAGTTTAGTATTTATACATGCCCTAATAATTTCATATTTCGGCTCGGCTCGGATTAAAATTATACCAATTCGAAATCCAAAATTGAACGGATCGGTTCGGATTTCGGATATCCGATCCAAATGAACAGCCTTAGCTAGCAGTCAGTTTCCTTTACTTTAGCTCTAGGTTGTTATTCTTTCGTTGTTGAATGAATAAGATCATCCTTTTACTGCTTTCCTTATCAGATTTTATACGGTATCAAAGCTCTCATAAGCTCTAACAAGTCATATCTATTTTTTTCCATCTATGGCTGCACCAGGAAATACAATCACTCTGGTTGATATTAACTTTGGTGATGCTACTGCTGCCAACAGTAATGTAAGTGTAGCTTCATCTACCACTCATGTCATATAATTCAATCTCGTTTCTCAATTACCTATCAAACTACAAGGTAACCTCAACTTCTCAACATAAAAAGCACAACTTATGATGCTACTCAATGCCATCAACTCATGGAATATCTTGATGGAACAAAACCTGCACCACCAATGACTGTTACATAAAATGACCTTATGACTCCAAATCCCAGGTACCAATTCTGGTTCTCTCGGGATTAACTGATCCAACAAGAAATGATGACATCCGTGGATCCTATCACTGCTCCTACTACAGTCACTACTCCATCTGCTTGGAAACACCTTCACACGGCTTATGCCAACAAGAGCCACACTCACACTTTTAGCTTGCGAGACCAATTGCAAAATATTAAGAAGGCCTCTAAATCCGTTACAGAATACTTACAAGAGTCTCTCTCTCTCTCTCTCTCTCTCTGGTGCACTCAAAGTTGTTGGTTCCCAATCACCGATGACGAACTTATCATCAAGATTCTAAGTGGCTTAGGCCCTGAGTACCGTGAAATCTTTGCTATTATCAGAGCACGAGACTCAGCTTTGAGTTTTGAGGAGTTATTTCATAAGCTCACAGATCATGAGCTTTTCCTCAAGCACCAAGACCTTGAGAACTCATCTTCCATCATCACAGTTGTGGTAGCCCATAAGATCAACCTACCATCCCAGGCTAACATGAACCATATCGTCACTTCAACAACTAGACATGAAATTAATTCCCATCTCAACAATCAGGTTACAACAATCCGCAAAAGCGGAGACAATTAAGACAATCTCCTATATGTCAACTATGCCAAAAATTTGGTCACGTTGCAGATGTATGTCACTCCAAATCGCACAATCACTTTGAAGTTAAGGCCGACTTTGCTTCAGCTCTATAGTCAAGCGGAAACTCCTAGGTTCTAGATTATGGTGCGACTCATCATGTCACTGTTGAGCCTCACAACCTTGAGAAGTATACAGGAAATGAGAAAATATTTATGGATGACGGTAAAATCATTCCCATCACTCACATTGGTTTAACTCAAATACAAGCATCTAATTCTACTTTTAGACTTTCCAACACTCTATGTACCCCATCAATAAAAAGAATCTAATTTTTGTAGCTAAAAATTGTCAAGATAATATACCATTTGTTTAATTTTTCCTTTTAATTTTCTTGTGAAGGACCTGCATACTCGGAAACTGCTGGTATAAGGCCGAAATGAGAATGGACTTTATCAACCCTAACTTCCATCTATCAACCTCGCCTCCATAAAAGCCCAGTTCAGCTGTTGCATTGTCGCTTGGGTCATCCTCATTTAGCAATTTTAAATTTTATTTTGAAGAAATTTTCTTTACATACTGCTGTTAAGGACAAATCTAAATTTATAATGCTTGTTCATCTAGTAAAGCGCATCATTTGTCATTTCAACGACTCACTTTATCTAGTAATATTCCCCTTCGGGTTATTTTTAGTGATTTATGGGGACCATCATCTGTTTTATCACTAGACAAAAAAAATTATTTTTTGTATTTTTGTTGATCAATACACCAAGTATACTTGGCTGTATATAATTAAAAATAAAAGTGAAATCAAATCTCTATTCCAAAAATTTCATCCTTTGGTAGAATTGTTTTTCGAAATAATTTATACAGATGTTGGGGTGAGTGCACAATTCTTCAGTTTTATCTTCAATAAAATGGCATTGAACACATAATTTCACCTCCCTATATGCTACAACATGTTGCCCATAGCTAAACGTCGATATTGCCATATTTAGAAATAACCAAAACTCTTCTCCAAGAAACTTTCCTATCACAAGAACTATGGTCTTTTGCCTGCCATCATATTGTCTATCTCATTAATTGGCTTTCCACTCCCATTCTAAATAGCGAGTCACTCTACCAAAAATTATTTGTTAAACCACCCAACCAGACCACTCTTAAAATCTTTAATTGTCTATATTATCCATGACTTAAACCCTACACAAAAATAAGGTGGAGCCCAAGTCTACAGGTTGTGTGTATTTAGGTGTTTCTCAAAGCCATCTATATTTGCTTTGACCCAATTCAGTCAAAAATCTTCATAAGTAGTGACGTTCTTTTTAAAAAAAAAATATTTCTTAATATATAAAATAAACATTAAAACTTACATAGGAAGAAATTAATTTCAAAGAGAACACTCCTAGGCCGATTCAAATTCAAAATTCCTCTCTAGATATAGCTCTACCAATACAAGTCTCCTTGGAGTCCAATTTACCTAGTCCACTATTAAGTGATACTCGCTCCTTCAGTTCTGGCCAGGTACCAACATCCGATCCGATGCTGAGAATCTAGGTAATTCTTAACTATTTTCCCCTTCTTTCCCATATCATACCACTTTAGAAACCCAGCCTCCACCTTTGCTACCATACCAAAGACGTAAATCCAGCACCAACACTCTTAACTCTGACCACTACTGCATCATCCCTAGCCACCTCTTCGCTGACAACTTCTTCACTCCCCGGCAACACACGTTCATCCAACCCATTTTCTAGTAACTCCTTACCAGAATAACCACCATGCCAAGACCAAATCGTATATAACCACTAGGTCCCATAATAATATTTCAAGCCCAAAAGTCAATTCAGTTTGCTAACTCATTTATCTACTACGCCAACAACCTTCAAACAAGCTAATATCCATGAATAGTGGAGACAAACTATGAAAGCAGAATACGTTGCTTTGATGAGGAATCGAACTTGGAAATTGGTACGGAGAGACCCAATAAAAATCTTATGGATTGCAAGTGGTTGTATCACATAAAAGAAAAGCAGATGGCTCTATAGATCGATACAAAGCTCACCTGGTTGCAAAGGGGTTCACACAGCGCCTTGGCTTGGATTTTCACGAAATCTTCAGTCTGATTGTCAAACTAACAACAATGCGGCTGGTTTGTCCATAGCCGTGCAACATAGTTGGCCAATTCATTAACTCGACGTCAACAATGCTTTCTTACAAAGCCAGTTGGCTGAACAAGTTTTTATGTCTCAACCTTAGGGATTTGTTGATTCCCAATTTCCTTCTCCTATTTGCAGATTGAAGAAGAAAGCCCTTTATGGTCTTAAACAAGCCCATCGGATACGGTATACTGCACTGCATGATCATCTACAAAAAAGGAATTTATTAAGTCTTAATCTGACACCTTTTTTATTTATTCAAAACAACCTGCCTGCAACAATTTATGTGATTGTCTATGTTGATGATATCTTCGTCACAGAAAATCATCCTAGGTTGATTAGGCATGTTATTGATTCCTTGTCTTCTCATTTTTTTTAAGAACTTGGTTATTTAAACTACTTTTACGGTGTAAAAGTTAAAAAGTGGTTGCAGTAAACTACCTCGGGCATATGATAGTTCTCCCCCGATTAATGACACTCTACAGGCGTACACTTGGTAAATTACAGTATTTATCATTACACGGCCTAACATCTCTTATGCTGTTGTCACAGTTTATGCACAAACCTGCTGATGAATATTGGAAGGCTGTTAATAGAATATTGGGGTATCTCAAAGCTAGAATAACTTCAAGTCTTCAAATTCTTTGCAACTCGGATAACAATCTTTACATGTATGTTGATGCATATTGGCTTGTAACCCGAATGACAGAATATCCACTTCGAGTTTGGTTCTTTTCTTTGGGTCCAATCCAGTGAGCTGGTCATCCAAAAAAAAAAAAAAAAAAACTATAGCTCGCTTATCTACTGAAGTAGAGTAGTAATCTATTGCAAATACTGTTGTTGGAACTCACATGGGTGCGAAACTTGCTCGATGAATTGCGTATCAACATTTCATATACACTCGCAGTTTTTTGTGATAATTCTCCTACTGTTTAGGAGCATTTATGGCCGTTTTTGAGTAAGTCTTCCTCTTAATTGTTTAGGAGTATAGCTATCCATCGGTTTCCTTTACTTTAGCTTTATTCTTTGGTGTATTTAAAGCTTGGTTGCTGAATGAATAAGATCATCCGTTGACTGCTTTCCTTATCAGATTTTATACAAATTATCTGTTCATGGTAATTGAATATCAAATCATATTTGTGACAATCATCGAATTATTTCTCACGACAATGTAAGTTCAAGATGAAGCTCTTGTGCCCCTGAATCAAACTAAACCTTTCACATCAATATCATGCTTAAACACCCTTCAATATAGTTTTATAGAGCTGGAGACTCTCCTGATGTTATAATACTCATTACTTTTTGAAATCAATAGTAAATGTTGTTACTTTGTTTTGTCTTAATTTCGTAGGCGTGAAACATAACAAGGTTTTCGTAAACATTCATGGAACAATAAGAAAAATTATCAAATTTAAACTTTAAAGTTCATGTTCAATCAATCTGCGTGAAATTAAAAAGATGGACTAATTAGAAAATCATGTTAACTTTAGGGATGATCATTAGATTTTTTTTCTTGAATCATAGTTATTAAACTATTTTTTGTAATAAAAAAGTCACTCAACCTTATTAAATATTAAAAAAATTACTAAATTATTTTTTGTAACAACAAAAATACTCAATTTTGCTTAAGTATCACAGAATGTCACTAGAAAGAAACAAATGAGATATTTACTTTGATACTCGAGCAAAGTTGAAGGACTCTTTGTTTACAAAAAAATGGTTCGGTAACTTTTTATAGTTAGATAAAATTAAGTAATTTTTTCATAACAAAACAAAATTTAATGACTTTGATGAGAAAATAAAAACTGAAGGACTATTCATTAAATTATCCTTATGTCAAATAATAGTTAATAATTGGCCTCAGGTTTTGTTTCCCGCTTAAACTAGAAATATTGAATTTAGTAGTGCCAAATTCAAATTATTCTTACATGCCTCGCGGAACCTTAGTGGCCTAATCTATCGTTCATTCATCCTTCCACCGAACGACTAATATCCACTATCCGTGCAAACCACCTAAAGCCAATAAAATACGCCCACGTGTATTCAAAACACTCATACCAACAAATCTTAAACGTCCCTTCTGTATTAAATTTAACGGCCCATATTCACGATCCGAGTCACTCCAAATCAACCAATCAAACCTCATACCACAAAAACTCTATATAAATCTCACCCACTCTTCTCTTTCTCACACAACAATTCTTCAATTCACAGTCTTTAATCTTCCTACTCTCTATTACTAAACCCAGTTTTCGATTCCAAAGTTCAGTTTCAATGGCACCAAAAGCAGAGAAAAAGCCAGCGGAGAAGAAACCAGTAGCAACAGAGGAGAGAAAGGCCGAAAAAGCACCAGCAGAGAAGAAGCCAAAGGCAGGAAAGAAGCTTCCAAAGGAAGCAGGCGCAGCTGGTGCTGATAAGAAGAAGAAGAGAGCAAAGAAGAGTGTAGAGACTTACAAGATCTACATTTTCAAGGTGCTGAAACAAGTTCACTCTGATATTGGGATTTCAAGCAAGGCTATGGGAATAATGAACAGTTTCATTAATGATATATTTGAGAAACTTGCTCAGGAATCTTCTAGATTGGCTAGGTATAATAAGAAGCCTACTATTACTTCTAGGGAAATTCAGACTGCTGTTAGGCTGGTTTTACCTGGTGAGTTGGCTAAACATGCTGTTTCTGAAGGTACTAAGGCTGTTACCAAGTTTACTAGTTCTTAGAATTGAAAAATGTTAGGTTTTTAAGTTTTTGCTTGTTCAATGATGTATTGAATAGATGAATCGTTTTTGATTAAATTTCTGTTGTTATAACTGTATTAATGAACCGTTTTGATTAAATTTATATTGCAGAGGGTACAATTATTTTATTGCTTTCGTAAGTTGGCCATATCCAATTGTGCATCTTGAATTATTGTGAGACTACCAGATGAAGATTTCTCAAATCTTAGTCCTATAGTCATGTATAGGAACAGTACCCTCTGCAATATTCAATTTTTATCTGCACTTCAATTTCTTAGAGTTTAAAACAGAGTTTATTAACACTTCAATTATAGTCAATTTCTGCATGTACATAATCAACAAGGACAATTCTTATGCATGTTGCGGATGATGTATGCTAACCAAGCACTTAAAATTGCAAATGAACCCAAGATTATGCGCAGCTTGACATCAGCTGGATGCCTGTGGTTGCAAAGAACACCACCAGTACATAAAATAAGAATTTTTTGCAACCTCTTGAATGTGTAGTCAGCGTTTCTGCGAGATGAACACTTGAGTGTATGCTGCTTGAATCTGTCGAACATCTGTAAACAATATGAAGCACAAGCTCAGAGTCAAGTAGCATTTATTCTTCTCCGCTATCTGAAACATAGTAGCATTGACTAATTAGATTCATGCCGAGTAAATTCTCTAGCAAGTTCTCTAATCTCATTTTGGGTTTTTTAGACGTAAAATTGAGAAGAACTTTCTATGGCAAGTTAGTATACGACTAATTTAAAAGGATGCAAGTTATGTACACTGTTTATATGAAAACGTTTTTATACGATTAGTGTACTTTAACATGTAATATATAGTTGGTGAGTTACAGTTTTCATCAAATTATCAATTCATGCTTAATTGAGATTTACTTATTACATTAAGTTATACTTCCTTCGTTTCAATTTGTTTGAACCTATTTGACTAGGCAAGTAGTTCAAAAAAAGAAGAAGAGAAAGACATTTCAAAATTGTGTGGCTATAAATCATCTCATTTGGGGTAACTGAGAAATTCTAATGTTAAATTGTTTATAAATTTAGAAAGGATTCATTCTTTTTGTACATGACTAGAAAGTAAATAGGTTTTAATCTTTTTGAAACGGAGTGAGTATGAGTTTATTCGACCAAGACATTTTTCACATAGAAACAAATTTTTTGGCACGTCTAGGTCTTCTCCTTGTAGAAAACACTCATACGCCAGATATGCATATGCTTGTGAAGATACAATTAAGAATATAAAAATGTTCTATCTTTAAGATGTTAAATGTTTAGATTAAGCAGTCACATAATTATTTAACATAAGGTATCAAGCCAAGTATATTTTCTCGATTCAAGTCTCATTACCATCCTCCGTCGGACAAAAATGTAACTACGTAAAGAATCAATATGACAAGGATTTTTTCTCTCTTTCAAGCTAGGATATACTTATAATTTTCATACTCATTAAAACACATCATCAACATTTTACAAGAAGAAGGTAAACAAAACAACCAAGTAATAAAATCTATTCCCACAACAACCACACGGAATTCGACTTGTGCTGAGCTTAGTCCCATGCACACAATATCTTGCGGCACCACAGAGGCGGATCCAGAATTTTGGTAGGATGGGTGCACTATTAAAAAAAGGTGGATCCAGGATAAAACTTTTTACGAGTTCACCATTTAGTTCTTACTATTGCACCCATTACACTTTTGGAATTATAAGTTTAAAATTAATTGAACAAAATAAAATAATTTTCTTCTATAACTATTTTTCATGTTAAAAATATTGGGATCAGTTGAACCCATTGATTATATGCTATATCATACATCGCTACTAGTTTAAATATATACCTTTTGTTTAAACATATAAGATTTTGCAGTGACAAAAGAATAGGAATTTCAATGTGTGAAAATTTTGAAAGAATAAACAAAAAAAAAAGAAATAAAAAGAAAAAGTACTTAATTAATACGCAAAAAGTGACATAGGATACGTCCATCTCCCGTGGGCATCTAGTTCTAGAGAAAAAAGGAAAAAATAACAAGATTGACATAAGATTTGAACCCACAACCTCACTTAGAGAGGTACACCCTATAACCATCACATCATATAATATTTTTAGCATGGGTGCATATATATATATATATATATATATATATATATATATATATATATATATATATATATATATATGTGAATATTTTTGAGAAAATATAATATTACTATACATGATTTAGGGAGGGGAGCATGGGTTCACGTACCCCATGGAACCCCCCCTAGATACGCCCCTCGCACCACTTGCACGACGCACCCGTCATTAGCTGCCACGAGCGATGCCACCGCCAAACTTCCTCTTTTACCTATCCTGTATTGAACTTTACTGAACATTATTCTGCTCATATTTTCCCATCTTGGCCAAGGAATTTATAACTGCAGTATGTCCAACAAATAAAGCAACATGTCCCATAAGCTTATCTTTCCTTGAAAAAGTAGTACCACATGAGCACTGCCATTTGAGGTCACCACAATGTTTCTCATGAGTTCTAAGATCAGATAACACAGAAAATTGCTTCTTATTGCACCTATTACACATATACATTTTGGGACAATGACTTCTCTTGTAGTGATTCTTGACACATATCATTGATTTCAATGGCTGAAATTTGGCATGTTTTTTATTCCACCTGCAACCTTCTTGTGGGCAAGAATATTTCTTACTCAATTTTGATAATCCATCATTTCCATTGTTTTTCAATGGATTACTTAAAGCAGCATTAGACTTGTATTCATCTCCATGAGCTCTCATGTGCATTCTCAAATTAGCATCCCTTTTAAATCCTTTTCCACAAATTTGACAATAGTGTGTGTACTTAGCCAATAAATCAGCTGCATCCAACTCAATAATATCACAATTTTCTTGTGATGAAATATTTTGCATTCCTTCATTCTTGAATTTCCTTTTTCCCAATTGAACACTACTATGATCGGTAATTGCTATAATAGTACTATGACTTTTGTTATCTTCAATATTACTACAAGAAGCATAATTTTCTTCATACCAATGATCAAGCGTTTCGTTCGAGTAGAAACCTTGAGGCAAAGGATCAACATGGCCATTATCTTGAAGCTTGATTTGAGATGGTTCAAGAAATCTACTTGAATTAATATTATTGGTGGCTGAAGTCGAGCCAAGGAAAATCTTCTGGCAAGAAAACATGAGAGAGGATGCAGTTGTGATGATTTCTTGAATCAAACTTCCCATATTTGCAATGGCCATAGACGTTGACTCGGATGTTTGGACTATTGTTTGGTTATCAGTAGAAATAAACATGGTGGCAAGTGATTGAATTTGATCAACCTTTTCTTTCAGAAGGGATAAATTATAAAGGAAACAATTACTTGGTTGATCAGAATGGTTTAAAGAAGATGTATCTGAAACATGAACTGAAGAAGAAATCATATGATCAAGATTATGATGAATAGGTGCATATAATGGTAGGTTTTGTGGATTAGTATTAGGGAAACATGGAATATTGGTCGTCTCTTCAATCATCTTGGATTATGCTCTAATTTCTGATTTGTAGATTTGTTCTTTCTTCTTTTTGTCTTGGAAATAAACATACGCTCAACAACATTTTGATTATATAAGAAAGGTAGCCTGGGCTGCCATTTTTTTTTTAAGAAGGGGAGCCTTGGCGTAACTGGTAAAGTTGCTGTCATGTGATCAGGAGGTCACGGGTTCGAGCCGTGAAAACAGCCTCTTGTAGAAATACTGGGTAAGGCTGTGTACGGTATACCCTTGTGGTCCGGTCCTTCCCTGAACCTCGAGCATAGCGGGAGCTTAGTGCACCGAGCTCCTTTTTTTTTTTTTTTTTTTTTAAATTTTTAAAAGAGAAGAAAATGTGCTTTTTGTGACATTTAGGGTGACGTTTTTGGTAGGGAAAAAAAAAGTCAGAGAGAAACACAGATACAACTTAAGTCAACTTTGAGACCACTTAAGACCTCCCTCAAATACTACCAATCTCACATTAAGACAAACTTTGTATTCAAAAGATAAATTTTCTAAATGTATAAGAATAAATAACTTATGGGGGACACAAATTTATGTGCGACTTGTTATTTTAACATGTTGGACATCAATTATATGGTTGGTTTCGGAAATAAAAATGATATCTGTGATTCAAACTGTCTCTGTTGGTTGAGTCTCGTCAACCTTCACGCATGAATTTGAAGTTGTAAAAGAAGATTTATTTTTTCCAGAGAGGAAGGTCATCTTTAAGAGATAACGACCATTTCCACATTTGTATTAATTAATTATTTATTGGGGCCATCATATATTTGGTTCTAATTGATTTACTTCGTCAATATTTTTGAGAAGAATCTAGCCACACCATTTCACTTTATTAGATAGGGGATTATTGGTTAAAATAGCACGGTATAGCCAGTTTTCGGACAGGTCATTCAAAAATAACCAGCGTTTAACAAGTCAATGAAAAATAGCCACTATTTTGCTGCAACAGAGACCGGTCCAACATAATATACTGGAGTTCGGTGCACCTGTGTATGAACTCCAGCATATTATGCTGGACCGGTATATTTTGCTGGCTCCAGTATAATATACTGGAGACTGGAGCACCGGTGCTCCAAACTCCAGTATATTATGCTGGACCGTATACTTGCTGGAACTCCAGTATATTATGTTGGAGTTCTAGCGTACTTATGCCGGAACTCCATCATATTATGCTGGAGTTCCAGCATACTTATCTTGGAACTCCAGTATAATATGCTGGAGTTCAAGTATACTTATGCTGGAACTCCAGCATGATATACTGGCGTATTTTTCCGGATTTTGAACAGTGTCAGATTTTTCTTTACATGAAAAGTGACTAAATTTCGATTACTTTTGAAACTGGGCTATTTTTGAACGACCAGTTTAAATCTGGCTATTTTTGAATTTCACCAGGACTATTGACGTTTTTTTCTTTGGTGTTAGTACTAATATTTTGTTCCATAGCCATTTAGTAAAAATTGTTGTGTGATCATGAGTTTATAAGTTCTAGCCGCGAAAATAGAATCTTGTAAAAATATTAGATTCACGTGTGCATAGATTTCATTCATATGCTCATTCATGCTAGTCATCTTAGAGCTGTGAGTCAGAACAATGTCAACCAACTCCTCCTTAATAATCTTGGTGAAAATAGCATGGGATAGTTAGTTTTCAGGCGCTAATTGAAAAATAGCCAGCATTTACAAAGTCATTTAAAAATAGCTATTTTGTTGAAACACGAAAAGTTCAAGGTATAATATGCTGGATTATGGAGCTCATGCGTATAAATTTCTAGCATATTATGTTGGGACTCCAACACATTATGAAATTCCAGCACATTATGCTGGAGTCTCATATGTAAAAAATTTCAAACTCCAGCATATTATGCCAGAATTTTTTCGGATTTTTAAGGGTGTTTTTGTTCAGATTTTATCTTTACATGAAAACGTGACTAAATTTCGATTACTTTTGAAACTGTGGCTATTTGTCAATTACCAGTTGTAGATCTGACTATTTTCTGATTTTTTCCATTTTCTTCTTCATATATCGAACAAGTTTTTAGAATACTAGTTTTTCTTCCGCAATCTCTAAAGGAATTTATGCACTCCATGACTTTATTATATTTATAGGGTTTCGAACAGAGTTTGTCTTGATTTGGTATCGCTCTCACAATTTGTAACAAATCATATTTTATCTCAAAATGTCCAATCAATTATTATGCCTCAACGTATTTCTGAAAGATTAATCAACTAGCTAGCTCTGAGTGCAAGTGACATTTTACCGGCCATAATATAATTGACCACCACTCATGATAATCTAGTGAATCAAATTATCCTTTTCTATATATTTATAATTAGGGATGGCAAACGTTGTACAATTAGAGACAAATCGCATGTTTAATGCATTTACTAAGCTCCATAAAACACTCACTTTTCATGCATGAACTCTTGAGTCGCACAGAAATTCCCATATAGTCGTCAACCAACGTACATTGATTAGCACTTAAAATTTTCTGTCCCTTCCTTATGATTCTATTTTTTCATTTCATTTTCTTTTTCAAATATTCGTTTCTTTATTTTTATTTTTATAAGATTATTAGGAAACGGAAATGTACTTAAAAAGGAAGGTGATTTATTTATTTATATACAATTTGAATGTTTTGATTAAGAGGAAAAAAAAGTGAGAAACTTGCAAAAAAAATTCACCTAAGTGTACTTTTAAGTTTTAACAGCTGATCATGTTTAACTTTTATCTCCATTTTAACGATGTCTCATTTATAAGATTGTTATAGTTTTCTTCTTCAGATATCACTATTTTAGTCCCACCACTGAATTCGATTGTTTTATCGACTTTTATAATTATTACTCTAAATAACTAATTAACAAAGTGATGGCTTTCAAAAAGGAAGGTGTGAATTGATGATAATAAAGTAACAAATTCGAACAATTAAACGTCACATACAACTTTGTTAATCCTTGTGAACAATTTAACAAGTTAGATTTAATGAGACAATATATCTAAAGTATTGTTAGCCCATCAAAACTTATGAACAATTGGACAACATACGTAAGTTCCGCCAATCCGTCAAAATTTGTGAACAAATTAACAAGATAGACAGAATAAACATAATATCAAGTCTTATCAGTCTGATAGAACTTGTGAACAAATAAACAATTCATGCAAGATTTGTTCCTGCGGCAGAACATATGAACAATTTCTATCAAAGTTATACTCATAACTCACCTGATATGACTTGTGAACAAGGCAACTTTTATTCATCCAACAAAACTGGGAACAATATATGCTAAATTTATAAGAAGAATTGACCCAAATAGCCGCCTACTCAACTGCTTAAACTAAAAATAGTCGGTGGAGGTATAACATATACATAATTTATGTATTATATGTCTATAATTATGTATAATCAATGTATAAACTATGTGTATGGCTAGAACAAATAAATAATGAATATGGCCGGCTATTTGTGTAAAGATCCCTTTATAACTCGCCTGAAATAAGGGGCGATGTGCACAAATAGCCACTAACGACTCATGTCTTTATTTTATAGCCAGTGTTTTAAATGTCTTTAGCCTTTAGCCACTGGTTTAATAAACTTTAACTGCCCGGACGAAAATACCCTTCTGCTCATGTCCTTAACTTCAGGACTTCAGGACTACATGTCCTTAACTTTTGAACTTGAAACTCTAAGTTCAGGACTTCAAGACTACATGTCCTTAACTTTTTAACCTGTAACTAAGTTCAGGACTTCAGGACTACATGTCCTTAACTTTTGAACTTGGAACTCTAAGTTCAGGACTTCAAGGTTACATGTCCTTAACTTTTGAACTTGGAACTCAAACTTCAAGACCAAGCGTCCTTAACTTTTGAACTTGTAAGTCAAAGTTAAGGACCTATTGTCCTTAACTTTTGAACGTGTAACTGTAAGTTAAGGACTGTCTGTCCTTAACTTTTGAACTTGTAAGTCAAAGTTAAGGACTTGTTGTCCTTAACTTTTGAACTTGTAACTGTAAGTTAAGGACTGCTTGTCCTTAACTTTTGAACTTGTAACTGTAAGTTAAGGACTGTCTGTCCTTAACTTTTGAACTTGGAAATCAAAGTTAAGGACCTATTGTCCTTAACTTTTGAACTTGTAACTGTTGTCTGTCCTTAACTTTTGAACTTGGAAATCAAAGTTAAGGACCTATTGTCCTTAACTTTTGAACTTGTAACTGTAAGTTAAGGACTGTCTGTCCTTAACTTTTGGGCTTCTTAGCCTAAGTTCAGGGCCTATTGTCCTTAACTCTTGGGCTTCTTAGCCTAAGTTCAGGACCTATTGTCCTTAACTTTTAATTTATTTTAACACAAAATAAATTAAATGCAAACACACAATAAGGATAATAGAGAAAGATTTGGAAATTCTTTGTAGGAAGAAGCTAACAAAGGAAGAAGTAGCTCAGTTCCGAAGAGCAGTAGATAAAGACTATTACTTTGAAATGTACTATGATGAGTTGCCCATATGGGGTCTTATTGGACGAGTTGAGAATAGAGAAGAAACAGATGATCCAAAAGATTACAAATACTTTCTGTACAAACACATACATTTCGATATCCTTTACAATAAGGATCGTGTTATTCCACATTCTGTTTTGGACTTGACAGAAGATAAGGAAGTCGATGCTGAGTTTACATACACTGCGAAATGGAAGCAAACAGATATTCCAAGTCTGTTAATTAGCAGTAGCATAAAATTTGTTTCTGTAATTAATAAGCTCATGACGAAAAGTTAACAGCAAGAGATCTATTTGAAACCTCAACAGATGGCGGCACAGTTCTCCCTAACACTTGAAAGAGATAGAAGAAAGGGTAACACAGTCTTTTCATATTAATTTTAATAGACTAGTGGTTACTATTGCTAAGCATTAAAAATGCTGGATAAAAAGTAAATACCACTTTAAAAAGTGGCTACCCCACACAATTTTTACTGAAATAACTTATGAACAGAGGCGGAGTCAGGATTTCAAGTTTATGGGTTCGAGATTTTAATTATTTTAAGTTACTGAAT